ACAAGAATGCATCCGCTCACTTTGTGATTGACCTATACACAGTTGCAGTGTGTGTAGCCAACCTTCTTGAGCTGCAAGAAGTAATCACGGTGCACTGACGGTTTTCCAACAAAAAATGGCCTTTTAAATTGTGTCAGAACCGTCGGTCTTTAGAACTAACCATTAAAGTATCTTACTGAACTTTCTTAGTAAATAATGCGCCCTCCGAAGTGGATGAATTTATCGTGGGCTTTTCAAATTTCGTCGTTTTGTTGACATTTCAGAAAAATATCACGTTCTCCGTATTATTTGGAGTATTCTGTTTCACGTTGAGAGTTTGCGGATGATTTCGGTAAGATTTCCGAAATCGGATAGAGATGAGATCAAGGTTGAGAACCACCTGCACAGGACGGTCTACCTTATAATTAATATATTCGCATACGTATTCATTAAGGATTCGAACATCGCTCAACCTTTACCGACTTCCAGAACCAACCGCGAGTCACATCGAAATCGCGGCGTCAGCCTGAAGTTCAAGGTCACTCATTGTCTCACTCCTCGTTTCGGCAAAGACAGTAGTCGACACATGGCAGATTGTCACGTATGAGTATACTGCCAGCATGTGTTGGCTTTCATCGCCATTGCATACAGGCTGTTAGCAGATGACCTTGTCTGATATGCACCATTGGTCGTCGCACTGTCCTCCTCACATGACGTGCTCAGGATTGACCTTTGTCACCTGGACATTCTCTTTCCCGGTTTGGTCTTGTCCTCTTGTTGGGAAGTTGAGCGTCCAGTGGAAATCTGGTTCGGGCACTATATACTAGAAGAATCTATTAGAGTATGTACCACACGACTCAATTTGAGGACAAATCACCACGTAGTTTCTGAGTTCGCATTATTGAATGTGTGTTGTGGTTAATACATTGCAATCTTATGGAGGTTATGTTCGTGGGCTGGAGGATTAATAGACGGTACGAGTGTAATTCCCATCAAGATGTTTTTCCCACTTATTCTATCCTACAGAAACATGAAGACCATTTGGATTATGTAGTTCGATGAAGTCGCTGTTGGCATCAGAAAACAATCTAATCTTAAAAGGCGGGCACATTCCTGCCCGACCAAAACCAGAATGTTGAGACCTGATTGTACACTTAATCGGATTCACTCTTTTAGTGTCCAGCTTAATTCATTTTCAAAATATTCGCCATACGCTAACCTAATAGATTAGAGGCTTTGTTCCAGAAGAATCATGAGACCCATTTGTTAGTACCATCGATGGGCTGCATTAAGTTATATCCACATAAAACTTTTGGAGAACAAACACCACTGTGTGTACTATGAATGGTAGGAATTCACATCGTAAGCCATCCCGGAACTGTGTTGTTCTACTCAATTTATGTTCAGATTTTCAGTGGAATTTCAACAGCATTCATTTCTACTCTACTCGGCTTCCTAGCCGATGGTTACATCCAGCCACAGGAGGAAGAACCTGGACCAGATCCCAGCAAAATTATCAAGTGGTGATCACATACCAGTGCGTGACCGATTTTTTAGCTGACTCGTCATGATGGTTCATGGGCAAATACGGATTCATTGTACGGCGAGTGGGATAGGAGATTGTGGCATGTGTTGATTGAGATCGAATTTCTATGGACACCCCTCTTGCGTCTCTTTGATGGTGCCATTGTCACTATTGATTATTGCCTGACGGTCCTGATCAATATTTGAACCCGTTGTCCGCACTGTCTCTCGTGTCTGACTTGCTCCGTAGGTTATGGGTTTGTACGTTCATGGCGGCAATAGACCAGAACCTGTTGGATGACCACTTCACTGAACTAATGAGACATGGCTTCAATTGTATCCTATCTCGTCGTAGAGTTCACGCATTTATAATTTATAGGTATAAACCCGATGAAGTGTAAGTGCTGTCCAATTCAAACTTGCTTCTGATAGACAGACGTGCGACTGCTTCTGTCGTGTANCTTGCTTCTGATAGACAGACGTGCGACTGCTTCTGTTGTGTAGGTGGTGCAGACAACTACATGACTGTAGTTATCATGTTCGACGTCCGGTTTGACGTTAAGACGGTGGTTAGTGAAAGACACCACAGGGTTTCCTCCTAACGCTCTGGATACGGTTATCGTCAAGATACTATTCACATACAATCTGGAGTGCCGATTTTCCCATGGACGCTTCCGCTCTATGCTCCAAATGACCTCTTAATCAAGTTCTAATGGGATTCGCACAGCTAATCAATCAATTTTTTGGTAACACGAGTCATGAAAACCAAAACGGACATTTCCACCCCTGGAAGTAGACGCCTCAGACAAGTGACCAGTACTTCTCACTTAGTATCAACGGCTTGTTTCACTTTCGTGATACTGAAGTTCAAACTGTTTTGAATTCTCAAAACGTCTATCCACAGCCATCAGTCCTTGAGGTTTCCTCTCAAGGAATGGCTGACTTAGCACACGAAGACAGCGATAATCTGTTGCATTGTACAAGTTCGGTCTCCTTCTGAACACTGGATATGTACTGCATGATATCCACCGATTACAAAAATTTCGGGAAGCGATTGAGAGATCGCTGCTTCAAGATAGTCTGGCAAACAATCAGGTTAAGTTTTGACGAAAAGGTGTCGCTGGGCCAAGTGAGTACGTTGCTATATCGGTCGAGCTGAGAACCGAGATTTTTCCCAATTAGCAGATAAACTCACGATCGGTAAAAATTTTTGTTGGTTAGCGTGTATGATTAGCTCTTAGGACTGACAGAGGAAACGAGCATTGATTTCGATGGGCTAAGGGGCTTTATTCTACCGGTTTGGGGCATTAGAGCTAATTCATTCCGGGAGTTGTTTACAAATTTTATTGGGTTGTGTGGAAGCATTAAAAACAATCAAAGTTCAGTGAGGAAATCAAATAGCATTGGGCAGGTTTGGAATTTGTAATTCAGGTCCAAATGACTATTCATTGATACGGTTCCCTGTATGCCTACCAGTTATATTCCTATTCTTTCCACATTGGGAGGAATGGCGATTTCCATCGCCTTGGACATCAATCACTGTGGTGTGAAGATCACTTGCTGCACTAAAACTTCATTTTCTCCATTTATTCGGTACCATGCCTCGTGTCTCAGTCGCCCAGTCTCTATCTAATGCCTGAAACGTACTTGAGTTTTCTGGTGACGCCGTTTGTCCCACATAGAACTTCTTGTAATCGTAATAACTAACTCCTTATAAAAGACGCCTAATCTATTAACCCGCGAGCGACTCGTTAATTGCGCAAATCAGAAGTGTAACTTTCCTCTTCTGAAGCACCGTTACAAGGTAGGGACAGAAGGGTGAATAGTTTAAGATATCATTAGTCCCTAATGTTTTCTGGAAAACGGTGTTTCGTAAGTATCCATCATGCAGTCTCGGAAGAGAATGTACCCTAAACGGATTATAGCCCCATTCTGATTCAGTAGGCACAACTAGACGTCCGTCAGGAAGGGTAAGTGCAGTGATAATAACAAAAAGTGGAATTGGAAGCGGTTATACTATAAGAAGACGGGAAAATCAGACCTTATTGGGAGAGTGCTAAAGACAACCAGAGTAGCAGACCAAGAGCGAAATCTCACATTGATTGATCGCTTTTATGTAGACACAACTGGAGACCTTGAGTAGAATCACAATCACTTCAAAAAATGTCATCTTTTGCGATTATCGTCATCGACTTATTCTAACTCCTCCAAAATACCGCGCAGTTTGAAAAATACGTAGCCGTATCAAATAGTTTTTCATCCGGAGCTCCAGTGACCGACTAAACCCATCAAATGAATTCAGGTAGATGTGTGAACTTCGACTTACTCCTGTCTAATCAAATTGTTCTGAAGAGCAAGTAGTGGAACTATCTCTGGTTGGGGACCACCTCCTCTACAATCGAGGCGTTTGTAACTGGACAAGTCGTACACTGCACAATACTACTAGACAGCTAGGAACGTCTCTAGGTTGGGTAAATATCAAAATCTTGTTCAAAAGGATGCAATATATCGATAGTGGTCACACCCAGTTAACCAGCATGCCCACTAGGAACTTCATCACAACTGGAATAGGCTGCTCCATTTCATTTTGCAAACTCCGTGCTTCGGGTGCATTGAGCAATTGTACGTGTTTCTGCATCTGACAATTACCTAAGGGTAATGTTCAGTTCGGTATGACAATGAGGGAACAGATCAGAGTTGGTGCCGATCTCTAAATATGCTTTCTGGCTATTGTGACCCACAAAGTACCACAGCTTATCCAACGTCACCCTTGTTTGAGTTCAGTAACAAAGCCCCCCCCCCCGCCATAGTTTGCACATGCATGGCGACGGGCGATTCTCGGAGCTCCACGTGACTGGTGACGGCGACTGCATTCTTAACTCACGCACCATACCTGTGCGGGTTAACATTTTCTCTGTGCCAGTCAAAAAGCGATGTCCCGCTGAGAGTCAAATGGAATCAGTGCGAGACCGACCATGAGCGATATTCAAAACAGTTGAGTCCTCTTAAACTGGTCATCTGGCATACTCACAAAGCAAGACACTAGCCGATTGGCTTACCAGCTTGGCGACCTCGGCACAGATATAAAACTAAGCCAATGAGTCTTAGCATTCGAACAAACCACCCAGTGAACTGCGGAAAAGGATGGGGTGAAGAAGCCGTCCTTGGACTCTGCCGAACGAAGGAAAAACTAACAAGCATGTGGCCTTTCTGTAGTCACGCTGGGTCGCGTTAATGACACGATGGGGTACATATAATCGTCATTCTTCTGGTGCGAAGGGCATTTAACGGTGACGTTGTTTGACTTAAAAACCCATACATAACCGATTGTAGAGCAGCTGATCCTCAATGGAAGATAGTCTTGCCACTTGGTCTTTGCAACAGATTGATGACCAAAGTTTGAACGTCTACATAAACCTAATCGACCGATCTACTCGGCTACTGGAGCTCCAAACCGAAATTCCCAAATGGAAAAACCATTACTGATAAGGATGTGGTGAAAATGGATCCATAGTTCCCAAGAAATGGCATGTCCCTGGCGAAGTAACTGCAAGCAGAAATGATGAGACAAGGATGAGAAAAGCGTTCAGTCTCGTTAGAATGTATAGATCATCGTCGGCAATGACAGGCTTCTGCGTTCCTTATGGTTGGTTCTTGCAAGGCAATGGCATCAATTGCAAATGTCCGTAAAAAGGTAGACGGCGCCTGATGTACGGTGGCGCATGGTGATCGTCTGATGTTACTAAGGTGTATGTCAAAGGTGCACAATGACCGAGGCGAACGAGGCAATACAAACACGGTGACATCCAGTGGAGACTGTCCGACTGGATAGTCTAGAATCAAATGTGCAATCAGACCAATCCTCTAATGAAGGGTCATCTTGACGCGAAGCCAGATGACTCCACCACCCTGGTTACTGAAGGACTAGTAAACTGAAGAATAAGCACTGAGATTCGGTAGAATACGAGCCATATCATGTTAGCTCTAAAGACATTGCCATTATTCGACGAACCGCTTACAAATATGCAAAGCAAAATACAGACAAATACGGACAATATGAAAGTGACAAACTAGTGAGCAGGTAGCCATCGAAGTATTGTGCAAAGGGGAAGAGGATTCCCCGATTGGTTGAAAACACTTGGTCAGTGGAAGGGGAAAAATCTAATCTTCTTCGCCATGCAGCGTCTCCTTATCGAACAAGTACTCTCCAAGACCCGGTCCACAGCGGCGAAGGTTCGTAACATAATCGGATATTTGCTTGATCGATTCCACTTGTTCTTTCAGGAATTCACCTGAAATTGGTTGAAAATGAGCGATCGAGGAAGGTGGGTGTGTTCGTGGACGAGAAATTTACATACCCAGGGTCAAGATGTACTGGATCTCACGATCAGCAGAACAAAAAATGACGAAAGACCGGGAGCATGATTCTCAAGCTGTATTCAATACTTACCATTCTATTCACACAAAAAGGTTAGCCAAGTTAAAGTCGCAGCCCACCAATAAGCAGATTTAGCGACAGTCAAGTAACTGAAAAGTATAAGTTGATCGACAGGGATTTCGTGGATTTGTTTGGTCAAACATTTTGAGGGACCAGACATCTTTTCCACGGTAGTTTCACTTTATTGGACGGTGGTCTCGCCTCAGGACAAGAGCAGATTCTATTACATGACTAGTTAGATGTTAATTATTTGCATGCGAATATTTAGGCCCCGATGTCACATGACACATGTCTGGTGGTTGATGCATTAAAAGAGATATAGTCGAGTATCGAAGACTTTAACTGGACATTTGACCCCCGGTTGGGGTTTATAGGGTAGGCTTAGGTGAGACCGACCAAGATATCGATCTGGCTGCTAATGAGCAGCGTTTCCAAGGGATACGTGTGTAATATTCCGAAAATTCCCATTTAGAATAAGAACAAAGATGGGTTGACTAGCATGCTTTCGTCAACTTCATACAGTTGCAAAGGCTAAAAATGGAAGCACTTAACACACTTAAATGAGCACCCTGTATGAGAAACCGATTGAAAGGCGTTAGCTATCTGATGAGGAACAACTAGTTCAAATCATTAATAGGGTGACCTGAGTTTGTCAGTGCCGTGATAGTTCGTTAGACAAAGAAAGTGGGTGGGGAAGGGAGCTGGACCACGGCAAGCCCAAAATAAGGACAAATCGTTTTTGTCGACAAAAGATCGAATCGAGATCTGACGACACGCTAGAACAGGAAATCCTAACCCTCACCAACGCTCTCGGAGATAACGGGTTCCTCGACAATTTTATTATGAAGCATTTGCGGGTTCCTCGACAATTTTATTATGAAGCACTTGAATAGAAGAGAAACCAATGCTGTTGGCACCACCGCTGAAAGAAGACTCGCACACATCAAGTAGCCTTCCGGTTGAGGACGATATACCGGCCCCAACACGCCGAACCTGGTTGACAAACAATCGTCCGTGTTGCTTTGGTCTCAAAGATAGCGCGCCTGTACACACTGCTGTGCAGCGGAATACATTCGACAAACGACGAGGCAACTGAGCGGAACAATAGGAGGACAGTGCACCCTAGCTTCTGATGATGGGGTCATAAGCAGCTCAGCCGTGCACCAGCTAACAGACACGGCGCACAGTGATATCCAGACAAATAACCGAGCTGCAAGCGGGTGAAGATGTAAACAGCTAGCAAACGGAAGTCGCCTTGCTTCACAACTCACCTCACCAGTACCAGAAAAATGATGAACACCAGTTAAAAACGCAGACCTTGGAGTCGCCATCGTTAACTGTAGGATGAGTCTAATTTAAAAAAAAACAGACTCAGAAAAGGTGGAAGTTCAGTTGCGCTGTTCGTTAGGCGTGATATTCGTATTCGTTGAACGGTGGAACAGACAATTTCCGCTAAAGCAATGAAAATTGGTGGTATAGCCAATGAATGGTTATTGTGTGATGGCACACACCGCATCCTAAAAACAGTGGCATATCAGCAGAGGACAGTGCACAGGTAGCCTTTGAAATTTTCGTTTTCGACAAGTTAGTTAGGGATAAAAAAGGTCCAGTCACCATTGTTCCTCCGGTATTCTGTGTAGACTGGTATTTGTGTTGTGTCGTTGATTTGTTTGAAGACTCGCAACCCAAACGGTGACTGGAGCGGCAAGTTACAGAAAGCCCCGTTGAGCTTAAGCAGTGGTACCCATAAGGAAGATAAAGAAAGCTGTCTGTAGGTTGCTAAGAAAAGTATCGGTTTCTGGCCACTTTCCATGGCAAACGCTTAGAACCTCGACACGTGAAATGCGGAAGACCATCTGTACAAGGGCTGCAAAAGGGACCACGTAAACGAGTGCTGACGTGACGCTAAACCAGAGGTCGGATGGTTACAGCGCGAATTTACTGACCGAAGGTCCGTAGTTCGAACCGGATCTCTGCCTCTCGACCTCCCCTGCCTAGGCTCCGACAACCTGACAGTATCTAATCCCTTGTGCTTCCTTCTGGTGGCATGGCAGTTAGGCACCGAAAGGTTCCTATAGGTGAACGAATTTTTTAAACCAGAAAACTATCCGCACAGTAGGACGAGATCAAGGAACTGAAGGACGATTACTCACGCTGCACCAGGCTATGAGGTTTAACGGGTTTCTATCTGCCAGTTGACAGCGATCACTTGTAAGTAGTGCTACGCATGGCTGACCTAAAACGACTTGTAGTACACCAGCTACGTATGGGTATTCAACCACTATTGACTGGAAAATCGGGACCGAAAACTTGCCATTCAAAAGCTTTTGAACGCGAACGAGGAAGTATTACGGCCGAAAAAACATGAAACAATCGACACCCGACCATATTCAGGTAAAATGGAGCTACATGAACTGCCAAACTGAGCTCAGTTTTGTCACAAAACAAAATACCAGCGATGGTGGTACCAAAGCCGAATGCGGAAAAGGTGATCAGATATAGACTCGTGACGCGACTGTGGTATGTGCGCCTTTATTAGGTACTGAATTTTCCTAAAACATGAAACACATTATGATACCCACTAACATTGTCCCCATGGGTCACAGTCGAACAGATCAAGACAAGAAAAATAAAATTTGCATCGTGGGAGTCCGAGCCCTTCATATGTAATCACGGTTTGCAAATACAGTAAATGCTTTCCAAAACTACGCTCCTTCAGAACTGCTGGAGGGCGAAACGCAGAAAGGGTTGTACAATACGTCAATCTTTCACTCTGAAAGCTCATCAAGAGACTGCTGAGGGATGAAATTGATGCACAGTGAAAACCGCAGTCTGTTATTCTAGAAAATAGCCGAAAAGTGCATGGATAGTGCTACGACAAGAGGTGGACGTATTCATAAAATGGGCAGATGACGAACGATGAACACGTGAGCACATCAAGTTTAGTCATCTTCGCCATGAAGAGTTTCCTTGTCAAACATATATTCTCCGAGTCCAGGTCCGACACGGCGAAGATTGGTAATATAATCTGAAATTTCTTTGATCGACCGCACTTGTTCCTTGAGGAATTCGTCTAAGAATGACAGAAGACACGACAGACGGTAGCGCGTGCTATAGAAGCTTCTGAGCAATAATATGTAAGTCACATCGGTCAGCATTTAAGCTAACCCCCTCGTATCTGAAAGTGGTGGCGTTAGCCTAACTAATTCTAATTAAGCTGGCGGAACGATTACGCCCCACAAATATTGACGACCCAACTGGAACAAATGGTTACGAATGGTTGACGAATAGCAAAATAAAGGGAGAGGAACAGGGGCTCAACAGATGGAGGTGAGCTCTACTTGCAGTCTGGCGCTTTCTCACTGGAAATGCTCTAAGTTTACAGACTCAGACGCAGGCCTACAAGAAACAATCGTATATGGTAGCCACACACCGGTATATTAAAAACGAAATGTTTCACCCTGTTGGAGACAAGAGATGAACCACTGGTCATCTCCTGAATATAACGCCATAGAAGAACGTCCATACAGTTGAAACGGAACCCAAGACTATGGAGTCGCAAACATGGTAGGTTGGGGTGAAACCAGAAAGGGGAAAAACGGGGCAGTTACTCAGTCTTTTTTAGAGTGTAGGTACCAGACATCCCAGGGGGGGGGGCTCAAAGGTACTCAAGACCTAGTCTCGTGACATTACTTCGTGCGTGGGGTAATAGCAACCGAAGCATTCTTAGCCAATGTTAGGTACTCCTACCTGTGAGCTACCAAATCATGAGGCTGTAGGCCAAAAGAGTGGCACTACAAACGTACGTGATAAATATATAGATACTCGAAGGTTAATGGCAACAGTTACCAACGATAGCAAAGTTAACAACAAGATTAGAAAGACCTACAACAACATGGAAGAGACCTTTGTAGTGAAGAGTATCTTAAGTGTGCCAAGTAGAGAACATACTCGGGGAACACCACAGGCGCTTGCCAGGTTTGTCTTAAAACAGTAAACTTGCTGGTTTGGTTAGAAACTTTATTTAAATGAGTGATCAGCCACAAAAATAGTTATGATCACTGTCAGCAAAAGCGATGCAGAGCACTGGTAATTACCGCCTCACAGCCACAATTAACTCAACTGAGTTATGGAAAGAAAACAGGTGGGATAAAGGCGCTAGATGCCTGTTCACTACGAGCACTCTGGCGAGGTCGCTGATGATGAATTAGACCATAAGTTCTGTGGTGTGTGAATAAAAGACACTAGTCGATTTGGAAAAAACATGACAGGTTTACGCGCCTGTTCATCCACTCTCAGAGAACTAGATGTAATTTGTCCCATGGGTCTGAAGTATTAGTGAAGCAGTCCTCAGTCAACATTGCAGACAGATTTCTGACTAGGGGGCAACATGGCCATTTTTTATACGTCACTCAGATGTGTTTCAAGAAGTTGCCACCAACACGAACTTTTGGTTCCTGCCACTCGTGTGGTGTAAATACTATTGTCCGAAAATCAACAGAAAAGGTGTGGTCTTTGGAATACATTGCGTTCGCCATCATGTCGGCAGGATTCTCTGTGGGGTCGAGATCCGAGTCAACCAATAAAAGCTCACCCACATTAAACTTCTGAATCTCATCCATATGTCATGTTCATAGCACCGGGCCTTCGCTAACCTATTGTAGAATGACCTCACCGTCCTCTTGCGGCTGAATTATAGGAAACAAACGAGCAACTGCTGTACGGTCCTTATGAAGAATTCTACTGTTGCAACAGTATATAGCTGATGGCTAACATCGGTGGCGTTTGTGACGCGTTTCCATCTGGATTTTTGGAATAAATTTAGGGAGGCACAGGGGCCTCAGGATGCACGAAGTACGTCAAGCATGAACTCAGTGCACTGTACAGTAAACGACTGACTAAACGACTAACTATTTCTCAGAAGCGTGAGGATAAGCGCACTGGAAAACTTCGCGCGGTCGGCAACTTTTTCCCATCGGAGCTACAATGGACGCAGACCGGCCATACAGTCATAAACCACATAAAATGGATTAAAATGAGACTTACAATCCTGGACACGTAGTTAGTTAAAAATTACATTCTCGAAAGGGGTCACCTTTCTACTTTATAGAGGACCTGAAAATTTCCAGTCAATTAAGCTTTTGAAAACACAGGACCAACGCAGGACCATCAACCTTGACCTAGTAGTCGAAATTGAGTGCTGCAGTAAATCCGCAAGTTACACCGCCTGGAACTCCGTTCCACAAGGTGCAAACACAACTAGAATTTCTGACACTTTGAGAAGTTTCATATAAGCGAAAACAGACAATCACTGAAGTGACCGTCCAAGCTATAGGAGTACTAAATTGATGCCCGTCATATTGCGGCTACTGGTTTTAACAGTGCCGCGCGCCTAACTCCGATAAGTGAGACAAACACGAGAGTACGAAGCAGAGTTTCTCCCGGCGCTGCGTAATACAAACAATATTACAGGTCATGTGTTAATCCTTGGCTTACTGTTTCACCCATTGTGGTTCGCCGAAAGGCATGATATCTTGAGGCAGCTTCCACGGGGACTCTAATTATAGAGTGACCACAGAATTAATCACAAGGCCACGCTAGAATTAAAGCGATGTGCTGGAAGCCGCCGAGCTAAACAGGTCGTTCCAGAATGATTCACCTTCTGACCAGTTAGAGCATGCCATCGCTTGGTCTGCAGCTGGCTCACGACACATCCGTCTGATCGACTGCATCGCACATTCCGCCGACCAACGATTTGGGCTTTCCTCGACTACGGAAAAGACTTTGACCCCAAAGATAGGCAGTTTTCTACGTGTTCTTGACCAAAGGGAGATATCTCTGAAATTGGTAACTATGATTTTCCCCACAATTCCATTCATGTAGAAGCTTATAATAGACTGTTTAGAATCCTTCCTGCAACTAAAAAAATTCGCAAGACTGCCTTCTCCCTTCCCCTTCTGTCCAACTTTATCATTGGTATTATCGTGGAATCTACATAACAAGGAATCGAGGTTCTTGATATCAAGAGTAAACCTAGAGAAGTATCATCAGACTTGGACTGCGCGGAAGACATTGGCTTGTCATCCCCAATCGACCCCCGGTAGGGCTTTGGATGCGATCTCTAGGTTCGGTATGCTTTTAAACTTTCAACTTACATAGCATAGTTTCCAGAGTTCGGGTTTCCTGCATCTTAGAAATCCAAGGACGGAAACTGAGCGTGCTGCCCATCGGGTCAAGATGGTACAAGTGATTAGAGCGCGAATTTACTGACCGGAAGGGCCTCTCGACTTCTCCTGTTTAGGCTTGGTAGTATCCCAGCCCTCGTGCAACCTTCGGGTGGCATGGCAACTGAACAACGCTGCCCATCTTATTTCTCTGGGCTGCTGTATAAGTCACGATTGTACAGTGACGGAAATCAGTCCACGCATCACCAGGGCGCGAACAGCATTTGCGTTATCCGTGACATCAGACGCGAATTACACTTAGCCAAAAATGCCCCTGTTCCTGATACGAGAACACTAAACGGATACAAATATTTCATCATTGATGGGCGTCGGTCCACTGTCTTCGCAATTAAATGGTGTGTAATCGAGCACTCAGTGATTGGTTAGTCACTTGGGTAATAAGTAGGACCCGTCAGGCTGTCCGAACATTATGCCTGCTAAAGGGAGGGCTGATTTCAACTCCAAACTCTCCTTGGCTTGCGAGTGACGGACCATGAGTTGGCAACACCTACTGTCAAACTGATTACTGTGATCCTCACGCTTCCACTGTCGGGGTTCGCGTAATTGTCTGCTGTATGTTAGCCGACCATCACAAGGGTCGACTTAATTCGAAATGATGCTCAGATGTGCCTATCTGATGAGAGAACAGGTACGTTGTTCCTCGCCTTTCACAAGAACATGAGGTGGCTTTTGGTAATTCCATGTCCATCCTCTTTTAATTTCTTCCTAGAAAGTCCTTCCGGAGTTTGTACGTGTTACCGATACATTGCTCTCAATGATAGTGATGATGGTCTAGTGTCATCATCATCATCATCATCATCATCATCATCAAAGACAGCAACATCAGTGTTGGCAC